GGTCATTTCAAGCAACTGCATCTGCAACTTGGCTGTTAATTGTGATCTCTACTTGTGTTTTGTTTTATTACTTGAGTCATTTTGTGTGCCTTTGTTTTTATCTCAATGAGGAGACAGACCATGTTCCTTACTACTTGTTTTTAACATTGTCACCATTCATTGCACTCCTTTGATAGCTGAAATCAAAAGCATCATATGTACATCCAAGATTAGTTATGAGGCACCCACACATGGAAATTCCAGCTTTCTGCACTTTGTCAACACTTTCTATAGATTTTGTAGTGGTAAATACTATGAACATGTTGAAAAAGTGGGGACAAAAACTTGTGTCTCTGAGTCTGCCCAAAGGAAAGTCACTTGTGTCTCCTGCAGTTGTCAGTGTTGTAGTTGGTTATTCAAAGGCTGCACCAGAGGCAGGGAAGTTTCTGTATCTTCCAGACTCCATGAAAGACAGTCATGTCATTATTGGAATTTGAAAGGGGAGTGAATATAAACAAAGGCTTGCTACAAACTACATACTAAGACGTTTTTCTTCTTTGAGGTAAACCTTCCATACTCTGTCTTCTAAACTGTTTTGCTATACAGCCTTCTTTTGTGTAAGAAGATTCACAGTCTTTGTGTTTGTGCAGAATCTTGCACAGAAAACCCTGGTCTGTGATTAAGACTCATTTGTACCATATTAGTGTTATTCCCATTAACAGTTTAGACAAGTATTATCATCTAATGCACAGTGCATTGTACTGGTATTCATGATTGGGATCTTTCCTTGATTCTATTATTGCTGACCTGCTGTATAATCTTGGGCAAGCCAGTGGACCTCGCTGTTTCACTGTTTCTACATTCCCTTTCTCTTTCCCCAGCTTGATTTATGTTAGTAAATAAACTATTTTCTTACTGTTTCTGCAATGTGCGGCAAAAATTAGTCTAAGATCTTGACTGGGCTTTTTATGCTTTGCTATACTTTACCAGACAAAGATATTTGAAAAAAGTGCACAGAATTTAATCCTAGCTTACTTGCATTTAAAAGTAGTGGTCCCTGTACAACTAAATTCCAAGCTTCCAAAATTTTGGGGAAGGAGAAGCAGCCTGTCTATTAAACTGAGCTATGACCAGAATTGTGCAAAATATTTGCAAATAACCCTCATAAAATTTCTCTAGCTTTAATATTTGTCACAAATGTTATGCTCCAACTACGCTTTTTATAAAGATTGGTCATGAATCATTTTTGTGAATGTGATTTCAGGAAATACATAGTTTGGTTAAGAAAAGGTACCTTGTCCTGATGCCCTTATATTCAGTGAATAACTGAAACACACAGGTAAAACTTGTGGGCCAGTTTTAAGGGCTGGAATTTCAACTTCGTTATGATCTTGCTGTAACAGCTTAAAAAATGTTAATGCATAGTGCACTTAATGCTGGTGCAAATCTTGCAGTGTTTGCCTATTTTCTGACGAGTTTAATTGTTACCATATGTGTATGTATTTATTTTACATACCTTTTAGGGACAATGCCTATTTTAAAATAATTATATCAAGCAATTTGTTTATGTCAAACACTTCAAGTTATAATGAAATAAGAAGGTATAAAATATTTTGAACTCCTATAACTGCAGCAAATTCAAAACAGAAATGGAGCAAAATTGTCAGCCCTGTGTTTGTATAAGAATTCAGTCCAGATTTGGCCATAAAATAATCCAAATGGGAATTTCATCTACTTCTTTGGTTATTTATGCTACCTCCCATATACTGTGCTTTAATTTTGCCTTTGACTTTGTAAGAGATACTGATTGGGAATGCTGACTTAGGAGTTCTCCCATTTGAAAGACTGTAGAGAGTAAAGACCAGCATAGAGTATGCAGTTGGATTTGTGTCTAAACCACAAAAGATGAAGAATACAGATATTCGTATAATCATATTTTCCTATAAACAGTAAAAGATGGTGAAAGGTATGCAAGTAACCTCTATTTTCTCCCAAGCAGATGTTAGTACATGCCTGGTAACATACACATCAGAAGATAGAATCTCATGGAGAAAACTGCGTATCTGCTTGAGCCACGTGCAATAATGGTAAGTCATAAGGCAAACGTGAGTAAAAACCTCTGAATGTGATTCTGCATTGTTTCTTTCATGAAAGTACCAAACCAGGATATAGATAAATGTGACTGGGTTGACTTCACCTTTTATAGTTTATTTTCCCAAGAGTCTGTGAATAACCATCAGAACTATTTACCTGTATAGCAGAAGTCTTCAGTTTCTCAATTTATCTTTCACTTACGTAACAGCCCATAGCTTCTGTAATTATTACTTTTTTTTTATTGTTCTAATTTCTTTGACATTCACAAAATTTGCAGAGGAATGTGATCATCCTCAGCCTATTTCTAATACCTCAGAGGCCATATGTTCTGATATTGTCATAACCAGTTATATTGAGCGCACTTACATAAATACAAAAGGAAACCCAGAACATCATATCTGGGAGACAGTGTCATGCCTGCAAACAGCAAAAATATTTATTCAGATAATTTACAATTGGAAGAAGCAATTGTATTATCAGCGTGCAAGACCCTGGAGGAATCTTTCTGAGGTTAGTTAAGAGGCATCTGCTTTGCTTTGCTAAACAAAATACAGGAAATAAGAGATTTGGCTCATGGATGCCAAGAGTGGTTTTAAGACTGACTTGAGAAGCATAAGACTTTTATCCAATGAATTATCCTATAATGTGTAAAAAGAGGAAACCAATAGTGTCTATAAAATTGCACAGTAGTATACCTGTAATGGTTATAGTTCATTATTATTTAGATATTCAATAATACCTGTATATTTACTTGAGTATGAGAGTTCTGCAGCAAATGTAAGAGCATCTTTTTTTAAAAAAAACAATTTGTACACTAAATGAAGTATTGTTCAGTGTAGAAAACAGTTTTTCCACAGTTTTTAGCAATAAACGGGGAAATTTCTTTTAATCCCATGAAAAAAAGACACAGTCCTGTTGTAAGTAATGATTTTTTTAAAAGAATGAAATCTGTCATTTGTGAATTGCATTGAGTTTTCTCTGATTGTTCCCTGCCTGACTAAAGAAGTTTAAAATGTTGTTATTTACCTTGAAGATTACCATCTCTACTTCAAAGGGAAACTCTAAGAATAATCCACTTAATATTGCAAGGCACTTGTATGATAATAAGACAAATCTTACAGATAGATAAGATTTCTCTTTGCCAAAAGCCTTTATATAATAAAGGAAATTATTGTTATGAAAAAAGGGCATAAAAAAGGATAAAGGGCTCCAAAAAATCTAAAAGAAAAAAAAAATATATCAAAAAGAAGGGTATTGTTTCAATCCAGAGATGGAAGATTCTTTTCAGAATAGAATTAGTTGGAAACTCATTGTTGTGGTATTCCACAAAATCTCTACTGAGAGCTGGTGATACATAGCAAATGAGCCTGTTTTATCACAAGGCCAGCTCCTTGTGACACCTGTGACTCTCTGAGGCTGATCTTTACCTGAACAAAGTGTTTCTACTTAGAATTTTGAAAGTGAATTCAAATCCTTGTATAGGATGATCTACCTAATTTCCTGTTTTACCTTGAGCTCTCTCAGAGAACCAATATGGATGGAGAGTTACAAGGAACTGAGTAGGTAATTTCTCCTGCAATAACTCATCCTACAAAATGGAGCAGCAGTGCCAGTCTCAGCTGACACTGAAGAAGGGTAAATGTCTCTCCTTTTCTACTTTTAATGGTTTTTCTATCAGTGTCCAGCCAACCTGGAGAGTTCTGCAGGTGAAAGGGACAAGAAGACAGCAAAGAGATATGACATGTAACAGAATTATGCACTGGTTGGGAATAAAACCTGCCATTGTTTCCCCTACAAGATTTATATATTTCTCTCTCGTTTCAGTGTACATTAAGCTTTCAGTATCCATATAATACGTGTGTATAGAAACAAGCTTTACTTTCTCCTTGAAATATGTGAAGGCAAATGATTTTGTAACTGTGAATACCCTAGTTTTCTGCTGTGGTATTAACAGCTTATATACACACATACTATCTTTGTTATCTGTGAAGATGGGGTCTATGCTCATTTGCATTTGTAAGGGGAGATCTTAATATTAAAATATTTGAAAATCAATGAAATAGAGAACAGCTTATTGTCTCTCGATCCTCTGACAATTAAGGTAGTGTATTAGGTGTTTAGATCCTAGGACTTCCAAATGGGAGGTTTTGATTAAGTTCTCCAAGCTGTATTACTGATTTGCTGGTAGACCAGAGTCCATGCTTTCTTTTCTTCAGATAATTAATAGGGTAAATACATCACAGATACATCCTGAACTTTCATGAAAAATCTGAGAGCTCTTCCATGAAACTTAGGTGGAATGACAAGGCATAAATCATCAAAAGAAATTAATTATTACATCTCTAGCTCAAGGAACAACTTAGTAAAGAGGACTTGAAGCTTAATAAAGTTGCTGACCAGAAGACAGGAAACCAGAACAGATGGAATGAAGTTTCTTCCAAACTATCCAATTTATCCCATGTATCACCTATTTTTTTCTAATCTGTTGCTAAAAGATTAGGAGGTAGACAGATGTTTTACAGATCTGGGTTTGCAGGCATGGATTATTGCCCACAATCAATAGTTTAAACTTCCTTGGGTCTTAGAACTATTTTTCTGAGATACATTATCTTTGATAACAATAGGACATTGTGGAGGAAATACCTGTTCAGAAAGTAAGAGGAGAAAGTGGAGTACAGAGTCAGCTTCATAGCAGCTACATATAGTAACTTGTACAGTTAGATTGTCTTGGAATTGGGAAAAGCACCTTCTGGTTTCTTTCTATAGTAATTCAAACCTTTTGTCACATTGTCTCTAACAGCAGTAGTAAAGGTATCACTTTCTGCAGGTTATAATGCTTCTAGGTCATGGAATGTTCATTTTTTATGATTTGGTGTGTGCATCTTTATCAAATTATTTAAAAGAACAAAAAAACTTTTTTTTTTTACCTGTGACTAAACTGGATACAATTAGTGGCAGGACCAGCATTTGCAGCATTCTCATGAGTAGTTCTCCTGGAAATGAAAAGTACTTTACTTCCCGATAGCTCATCTTGTATGATCGGAGAGAAAATCCAAGGATTACACCTGAAGAGAGGGAAAAAATATCATGACTTACTCTTCTAAAGTAGTAGTAACATCTAAACATGAATATCTGTATAGTATTTATTTGACGTATCTGATTGTAACATGCAGTTTTTATTATGCCCCCGATTGCACTCCTGATTTGCTCTCTCAAATATCAACTACTATTATGAGTAGTCCTACTGATGCCATTAAATTATTTTTCACTGTAACAGATTCAGAAGGTTATTCGTGCTGCTGGTTTTTGAAATCTGGATTAATCTAAAAGGTACATCTTGAGCATAAATGAAAAGGAAACAGGCCCTGCTACTGCAGCCAAGTGCTTTGACTTCTGGGATTTTGAGCGTAATCATATATGCAATGCATATACATACTAGCTACCAACCTTCAGAAGTCTTGTCCATGCCTGTTTACTCTGTGAGGCCTGATCCTGTAGATTTGCTTCAGACTGGATGAGATAACCAGGACAGATGTATTTGAGAATCCCCTTGTGCGTAAGGTCTTTACACAGCAAAACAGCATCAGGAAGTAAATAGCTTTACACAGACCTACCTTCAGAAACACAGGCACTTGTGAAGAAGCAGCTAATCGGGGTTGGAAGGTCTTAGTGGATGATTAAGTGGTAGGTTTCAATGCCTGAGGGAGTGGGGTAAGGGAGGGCCTGGATCCATTTATCTTGCTGGGAACAGATAAATAGTGCTTGAGATACATTTACAAATGGAAGCCATAGATGGGCTGATGTAGCAACCTAAACTTCTCAGCTAGAACTTCATAGATTTTGTCCTGTACTTGGCACCAACTGCTTTAGTTGCTTATTTGGTTAATTATTTGGTTAATTGACACAACTAGTTACAATTTACTGAATGTTAAATGGTTTGGTACCTATCTGATGTAGGTTTTCTATATCCAATCAGGATCTGGAACACTCCTTAACCATACGCATGGTGAAACTCAGCTATGCCTCCTCCCCATTCCTGACTCCATGTTCTTCCCCACTGTCTAGTACTGGCATTTGTGCTAATTGTGGCTGTATAGAAAGTTGGATCAGAGAATTGATCCTGCTGCAAAGAGAATTTATTTTACTGGGTTAATTTTCAGCCAGGTCAATTCCTTGAGGTAATTTGTTTGTATGGCTGCACAAGTGTCGGTACCTTCACAAGGGAGTAGGTAGAAATGTGCCTTGGAGAAGAGTGGGACTGCCCTTTTTGGCATATAGGCAGACTTAGGTTTCCTAAAACTTTTCATGAAACTGCTTCCTCAGTGATGTTAGGCAGCAGAGTATTCAAGCTCACTTCTAGATTGTGTTAGAACTTGGGTACATCCTGAAAATGCCATAACATTGAACACTTCTGGAAACTGCTAGTTCCAATTCTTAACCACTTTGTGGTTTTGGGGTTTTTTTAATCAGATTTTAGATTGGTACATCCATACAGCAGATAATATCTTCATGCCAAATTTTACTAGCTAAAATAGGCTGTTATGCCTCCTACACTAGCTTATTGCCATCTGCTGATGTAAGGAAACAGCTATAACTCTCATGTTAGTGACCCCTGTCTGTCTGATCATGCTGTTAGGGACTTCATCAGGTTGGTTAAGTTAGAGGAGTCCAGAAATGTCTTGTGTAGGTCAGAAAATCTCAGTGTTACAGGATGGCAAAAAAGTGATTAGAGCACAATTGGAACCAAGCATGGAGTTCACGCTATGGAAGAGAGCGGTGGGACTAGAAGGCATTTGTTTTAGTCTATTCATGTTCTATAGACTCAGGTAGTCAAAGTGCATTTTGCATAAATTATTTTTTTAGGTAAAAGTAGATCATAAACTGCATAGAGGAAGAGCCTCTGAATTATTCTTGATTAAAAGACCTGCTTTAGAGTTTCCCTTCTTTTCAATAAGGTTTTAAATTCCACTGCAGTGTTACTGATTATTTTCTTTTTATATGGGAAACACATTTCTCAGATATAAAGAATCCATCTGGACCCTTTGTTTCTGCACTTAATGAGCACTACATTTTGACAACTGGATAACAAGCAAATAGAGCTAGACCAGTTTCTTACTTAGGCCACAGTCCTGCAATTAGTTCCACATGAATTAATCTCTGCACTAGTACAAAGCCTCACTGAAGTTAGTAAGGGTTTCTGGGGCTGCTATAAGAACTAGTCCTTATGCTATACTATAAAGGCTTGATTATCTGGTCCACTACTGTCCAAGCAGTACAAAGTGGCCTGAGAGAGAATCAGGGCCTGAGTAGATGGCTGTTTGAATGAATACTATTGGTAGTGAGAGTAAGTTTCTGAAGCTCCATGTAAACCTGTTGAGCCAAAAATCACTGGTTTTTTTGGTCCTAAAGTGCTCTGTGCATAATTACAGGGTTGCCCAGCACTGCAATTTACAAAAATAATTTCTGCAATGTGGAAAAAATGTGCCCTGGTAGCATATTCTGGTGAACTGGGTCAACACCTGATAGTTACTAATTCTTCAGCCTTAATCTTAGCACTCCTATTAATTTATATGCAGTCATGCCTAAGCTGTAAGAACCTTTCTCTGACTCAGTTTCCCTGCTTGTAAAATAGGTATAGTAGTAGTTGCTTCACAGATGTTTCTGACAATTGTGTTAACATAGTGATCTTAGCAGTGCAAGAAGGAATTTAAGAAATTATTTCCTCATTGTAGTCTGTGGTAATGAAAACAGAACAGCATGATTTCACCAGTCTCTCTTGATTTTAGAATACATGGAGATGAAACTTTATTTTCTGTTCTGAGTTTAAATACCTAGATACTGGGTATTACATCCTGTCTGACAAAGTTTTATTAACAAAAATTATGAACTTGAAAGAGAAAAGTCAAACTTGGCAAGGTAGCTTTCACTTCTTTGAATTCACTTCTCAGAACCAACATTCACAGGTTTTAAATAGTGAGATAACAGCATACAATGATGATTTAAAGATAGACACAATGACAAAGTATCAAAATAAAATCGGGAAGTAAGACCTGGTAGGAGGTACTAAACCTTTGGAAGATGTGCAGTATTTCAACAACCATCCACATCTGTGTGTGTGGTAAGAGTTGTAGTGCTTAGTACCCTCCATGATCAAGCCTGAGAAGATTAAATACTGGAGCTGGCCTTTCTCAGAAAAAGTTTCAACTTTCTGATTAATTCTGAAAATTGTAATGAAACAAAGCCTTGTGTGAAACAAGCTCCCACAACCTGTTGTGCAGGTTTCTGTCTACCCTTTGTAACAGAAAAGAACAACTAATCAACGCTATCAGAGCCTGACTTCTCAAACGGTAAATGGTGTACCATTTCTGCACTGCAGGGAAGAGTAGATTTCTCGACAGAATTTGTTAGGCTTTTTCTGGACAAAAATCAGTAGTGCTTGTTTAAGTTAAGGAGCTGAATTCTATACATGTGTATAGTTCTATAACAGAACCATATTGCTGAATAAGTTATACAGTTCATAATGAAGAAGCAAATCAGAGTTACAAAAAGATTTTTGAGGTGTTCTTCTCAGTGATATAGTCGAATTTATGGAAAACTTGATTTGAAGATAATCCTGATGACAATCAGAACAATCCTTGAACTAAACCATTTTATTGCATTTTTATACAAATGTAGATGTTCAAAATAAAATTCAATCTGTATGAATACAGTGAAGAGAGGATTTAAAACCTGAAAGGAGCAGAAGGTGAAAATAATCCTGACAGTGATGGGAATGGGATGGAAATGGCAAAAATGGCAGATATGATTTGGGACTGCTTATTCCTAAGATGGGAAGACATTGATGAATGACCTAAAGTTTTCACTTCTAGGCTGCAGTACTAGAAAGGAAATAATAAAGTCTTCATGTCAGGCTTTAAAAACTATGGGTATACCTGTAATTGCTAAGAAACAGACAACCTTCTATAGAAAATTTCTTAAATGGATTAACATAAAAGTGTGATGAAGTGAGCGTTAAAATCAGGGTCTGAAGTAGCAAGACAAAAGTTAATACTTTTGTAATACTCAGTTTTTTAGAAACAGATTCGTTATGGAGATGATTCTTCTTTTTTGTTTGGTTGTTTTTTTAAAAAAAATTGTTGTAGTAATCTACCAGAGTATCATCAACTTATATATAATTGAATTTGAAAATGAACTTTAAAATCATAGAATCATAGAATCATTGAGGTTGGAAAAGACCTCTAAGATCATCGAGTCCAACTGTCAACCCAACACCAGCATGCCCACTAAACCATGTCCCTAAGCACCTCATCTACACGTCTTTTAAATACCTCCAGGGATGGGGACTCAACCACTTCCCTGGGCAGCCTCTTCCAATGTTTAACCACTCTTT